CCCAAGTAACTGTGACACAGGCAGTGCCAAGACACACGACGACTACCACTATCACTTTGTATCTTCACAAACAGTAACAACGATACACCTTTATGAGGCCAGGCGGTCTAAGACTACTGACCATTCAGTGATCACCTATGCTCGGAACTACCCAATAGTGCTGAGGATTTACGGGTGTGAGCCACCAGCACCGCCCATAGATTTCTCTAAGAATCGTCACCCCAGAATAACGGAATTTGGTTTGCCTTTGCGATTAAACGCTAGAAACTCAATCATATACTACCCCCTTACATAGTGCAACATATTTAGGGATAACATTTTGGCAGTATGAACTTATTTTTTACTTTTTTTTTTCGCGACTCACTCTGTCACGAGGGCGGAGTGCAATAAGTGACATCAGAACCTCGACGCAACTTCCACCTCCTGGTACAAAAATGGCTGCCCAGCTCCCAGAGTAAAGCTGGAACTACAAATGCACGAGCCACCAACACACAGCAATTCTTGTTATATTGTTTTTTTTTTTTTTGAGAAGGAGTCTTGCTCTTTCAGCCCCCAGTCTGGAGTGCAGTGATGCGTCTCGGCTCACTGCATGCTCTGCCCGCTGGGTCACGCCATCTCAGCGCTCCTGAGTAGCTGGAACTAGCAGGTGCCTGCCAACCTCACCCTGGCTAATTTTTCCTATTTTAGTAGAGACCGATTCACTCGGTAGCCCAGGATGGTCTCGTCTCCTGACCTCGGATCCACCTGCCCGCCTCCCGAAAGTGTGGATTACAGGCGTGAGCCACGCGCCCAGCTACAATTTTTGTACTCTTTTAATAGGACGAGTTTCACCATGTGGCGCAGTGTGGTCTTATCTCTTGCACCTCTGGTGACCGCCCCACCCAGCCCTCCCAAAGTACTGGGATTCAATACGCCTGGAGCGCCACCACGCTGGTCGATAATTTGAACTTTTGAGCTGCTTTACTGGAATTTGCTTTGAAGTCCACCTAAAGTTGGCTTTAGATATTGAGAATGGTGATGCATAGACTGACAATGGTCTGCGAATGTTACTATCATAATGAGGGCTTTTCTGGAAAAGCACGTGATGAACTTCCCCAGCTGGTCCAAATTGGAGAACAGGGATAGGTGAGTAGCCTGGGATATTGGATTAGTCTGTTCTCATGCTGCTAATACAGACATACCCAAGACTGTGTAATTTATAATGAAAAAGAGGTTTAATGGATTAGCAGTTCTACAGGGCTAGAGATACCTCACAATCATGGCGGAAAGTGAAGGAGGAGCATATGCATGTTTTACATGGTGGCAGGCAAGAGAGAACCTATGTAGGGAAACTGCCCTTTATAAAACCATAAGATCTCATGACATTTATTCACTATCATGAGAACAGCATGGGAAAATCCCACCCCCATGATTCACATACCTCCCACTGGGTCCCTCCCACAACATGTGGGGATTATGGGAGCTACAATTCAAGATGGGATTTGGTGGGGACACAGCCAAACCGTATCATTTTGCCCCGGTCCCTCCCAAATCTCATGTCCTCACATTTCAAAACCAATCATGCCTTCCCAACAGTCCCCCAAAATCTTATTTAAGCATTAACTCAAAAGTCCACAGTCCAAAGTTTCATCTGAGACAAGCAAGTCTCTTCTGCTTATGAGCCTGTAAAATCAAAAGCAAGTTAGTTATTTCCTAGGTACAATGGAGGTACAGGCATTGGATAAATAACACCCGTTCCAAATGGGAGAAATTGGCCAAAACAGGTCACAGGCCCCATGCAAGTCTGAAATCCAGCAGGGCAGTCAAATCTTAAAGCTCTGAAATGATCTCTTTTGACTCCATGTCTCACATCCAGGTCACACTGATTCAAGAGGTGGGTTCCCATGGTCTTGGACACCTCTGCACCTGTGACTTTGCAGGGTACAGCTCCTCTCCTGGCTGCTTTCACAGGCTGGTGTTGAGTATCTGCTACTTTTCCAGGTACACGCTGCAAGCTGTTGGTGAATCTACCATTGTGGGGTCTGGAGGAGGGTGGCCCTTTTCTCACAGCTTCACTAGTTAGTGCCCCAGTGAGTATTCTGTGTGGGGGCTCCAACCCCACATTTTACTTCTGCACTGCTCTAGCAGAGGTTCTCCACGAGGGCTCTGCCCCTGCAGCACACCTCTGCTCCAGTTCCCAATAAAGTTCCTCGTCTCCATCTGAGACCACCTTCAGCCTGGACTTTTTGGTCGGAACCATTCAACACCATTCTCTAGGAGGCTCCAAACTTTCCCACATCTTCCTGTCTTCTTTTGAGCCCTCCAAACTGTTGCAGCCTTTGCCGGTTACCCAGTTCCAAATTTGCTTCCACATTTTGAGGTATCCTTATAGCAGCACCCCACTCTACCATTACCAATTTACTGTATTAGTCTGTTCTCACGCTGCTAATAAAGAAATACCCAAGACTGGATAATTTTTGAAGACAAAGAGGTTTAATGGACTCAATTCCACTGGGTCGTGTCCTCTGAGCTTCTGCCACAGGGCCATGTAGACAGCTCTTATTGCGGAGTTTTCCTGCCTCAAATTCTTCAGTGTCCCCTACACTCGCCTGCAGTTTTTCTAAGGTCCTCGTGGCAAGGTTGATTCCCGCCCTGGGTGCTTCCCAGCCGCTCCCTCATCGGCTCCTGGAGAGCAGGGACACAGCCCCAGTCCCAGGGAGGCCGAGAACTCTTCCTGGTCCTGGGATCCTGCAGACCCCGCCCTCTCCTGACTTTCTCCTGCCTTTTTCCTCCTTGATTGGGGGCCCTTCTGCTCCCCAGGTCTCCCCTTTCCAGCCACTGCTTCTCCTGATTTCGAGTGTGGGGATGTGACTTCTATCTCAGGACATTAAGGTTTCTCTCGTCCCAAATTCCATCCCACAGAAAAGGTGCTCTTGAGGTGGGGATCTGACTCCAATCCCCTCCCTGTGAATGTGTGGAGGAGAGGAAATAGACAAAATGGTGAGATGGGAAAGAAGAATGGAGACCCATAAACAGATGGCAGCCAGGCGCGATGGCTCATGCCTGTAATCCCAGCACTTTGGGAGGCTGAGGCGGGCAGATTACCTGAGGTCAGTAGTTCAAGACCTGCCTGACCAACATTGAGAAACCCCGTCTCTATAAAAAATACAAAATTACTCGGGTGTGGTGGCGCATGCCTGTAATCCCAGCTACTCTGGAGGCTGAGACAGGAGAATCGCTTGTACCCGGGAGGCGGAGGTTGTGGTGATCCAAGATCGCACCATTGCACTCCAGCCTGGGCGACAAGAGCAAAGCTCCATCTCAAACAAACAAAACCCAGAAAACAGATGGCAAAGTAGATGGTGGATGAAGGATTTGCAGAGACAGTGAATGAAGATGCTGAGAAAGGAGCAGAGGGAGAAAAGCAACTAGAGAAATTTAGAGAAAAACTGCGTTTCTAGAGAGATAGAGTTCCGCAAGATAGGGAGAGGGGCAGAAAGGAGGAGGCTCCTCCCAGATGCGAGAGTTGGGGAGAGAAGGAGGGATTTGGAGCCAGGGCAGACAGAGCAGCATGGTGCTGGGACAGCAAGAGGGGGCAGCCAGTGAGGAGAGCAGAGGGAGAACCACAGCTGGGGAGACCTGGGATCTGGGGGTGCCAGAGAGTGGGGATGGGGGGTGTAGCAGGGAAGAGGGAATTTAACAGGGGAACCTAAGCGGCAGCAGAGACGGGGGAAGAAAGAGGCAGAAATATATGAAGATTGGAGACAAAGATTGGGCAGAAAGAAGAATAAGAGGTGAAAGAAGTGAGAAAGGAGCAGAACAAGTGGAAGAGAAGGATAGAGGGAAGAGCGGGAGAAGGAAGAAGGGCTTGAAATGAGCAGTATCCTAGGGGAAAAATAAAGAGAAAAAAAAAGAGCTAGGAAAAGAAGGTGAGAATGAGACGTAGGTAGAGAATGAGGGAGGGAAACACAGTAATAAGGAAACAGGGGACGCTCAGTCCAGATGAATGATGAATTGATTGGATATTATGATTAATTTCTTTATAATAAACATAAAATTTGTTTAAAATATACAGACAAAGATGAGAATTGGAATACTGTCTATAAGGCATGTGCATTTCATAATTCTTGGTATCAGAGGTTAGCTTCCACTTGCTGTCCTTATTCTGCCAGAGGGCAGTGACTTGACTCATTCAGGTGTGGGTCACTATCTTCACTTCTCTTGGGATGGGGTAGGCTGTGGGCGAGTGTATAAGATAGGAGGAAAAACCAAAGTGTTTTTTCTACTCGCCCAATCAACACAATAGTGAACACTCAACACAAAATGCCTCATCTCTGGTCATCAAAATATGTGAGGATTACTTCCCACCAACAAGGAATTTTTCATCAGATAAAAACTGGGTGTTCTGTAATTGAACTCAATTTGACACCATTTATAGGGAGTTAGCATTAGATCTCACAGGAGGCTGAGGGGCTCAGTTGCACAAAACTGCCCCCAGAATTTGCTAGAGTGATTTACACAACTCGGAGAAACAGTTTACTTAGGTGTACCTTTTGTTATAAAGGATATTACACAGGATACTGGATGAACAGCCAGACAGAAGAGCGTTCCTAATAAATTAATGGAAACAGAAGTATGTTTTGGAAACCATGTATTTTCTTTCTTTCTTTTTTTTTAATTAGATGGAACCTCGCTCTGTCACCCAAGCTGGAGTGCAGTGGTGCTATCTCGGCTCACTGCAACCTCCACCTCCTGGGTTCAAGTGATTCTTCTGCCTCAGACTCCCAAGTAGCTGGGATTACAGGTGTCTGCCACCATGCCTGGCTAATTTTTTATATTTTTTAGTAGAAGACAGGGTTTTGCATGTTGGCAGGCTGGTCTTGAACTCCTGACCTCAAGTGATCTGCCTGCCTCGGCCTCCCAAAGTGCTCGGGATTACAGGTGTGGGCCACTGACCAAGCCCAGGGCTTGAGTTTTAAAGGTGTCACAGTATATCTTGTTCTCTTTTTTTTATAAACAAGAATCTATCTTCCTGACCTGAGTATTATCTCTATGTGGGAACAAAGGAGAGAGCGCTGGACTCTGCAGAGTGAAGGGAAAACAGCAAAAATCCAGATGGGAGGGAACGGATCAAAGGTGTGAACACAGGTAAGAGCTCAGATGGGCAGAGTAGAAGCTGCATGATTTTTTTTTTTTTTTTTTTTTTTTTGAGACAGGGTCTTGCTCTGTTAGCCAGGTTGGAGTGCAGTGGCAATCATAGCTCACTGCAGCCTGGAACTCCTGGACTCAAGTCATCCTCCTTCCTCTGCCTCCCAAACTGGTGAGATTACAGGTGTGAGCCATTGCACCCTGCAAAGCCACACTAATAAATAGTGTTTGGGAAACTCTGCAACTGGGAGAATTCTGTGGAAAACCAATAGTATAAATCCTGTTTCTTTGTGTGTTGTTTTTGTTTTTTCTGAGACAGTCTCACTCTGTTGCCCAGGCTAGAGCACCGTGGCACAATCTTGGCTCACTGCAACCTCTGTCTCACAGGTTCAAGCTAGTCTCCTGCCTCAGCCTCCTGAGTAGCTGGGATTACTGGTGCCTGCCACCATCCTTGGCTAATTTTTGTATTTTGAGTAGAGATGGGGTTTCACCAAGTTGGCCAGGCTGGTCTTGAACTCCTGTCCTCAGTTGATCTGCCTGCCTCAGCCTCCCAAAGTGCTGGGATTACAGGTGTGAGCCACTGTGCCTGGCCTAAATCCTGTTAGTTTTGAATGGAAATTTTCTTTTTTTTTTTTTTCTGGGACAGGTTCTTGCTTCGAGACAATGGCAAGTACAAACTAGGTTTACTGTAAATATGAGAAAGGGAAAAAATGCTTTTACTGTATTAGAAGACTTGAAATCGCATGAAGGGATTCCAGTCTTTTGTTGTTGTTGGTCAGATGTTTTAGCTATTTTAAGTTTTTCGGTTTGTTTGTCTTTCTACATAACTGCTAACCTTGTTAGTATCTGCAGAATGCCTTAATTAGGAAAGCTATTAACCCTATGTGTCAGGTTTGTGTAATTTCGTATTGTTTTATATGGAGTCTTCGAATAAATGTATGTGGTGTATGTCTCTATATGCTGTCTTTGATTTCTTTCATCAGCATTTGGTAATTGTAACGTAACAGTTCTATGAATGTTTGACATGTATTTCTTTGACCTTTTTTTTAATGGAGCAATCATACATAGTATTTTATTTTTAATATCAGGTTTCATGTGTAAATTCCTAGTGTATAGAAATATACAAGATGATTATTATTATTATTATGAGACAGGATCTTACTCTGTCATCCAGGCTGGAGTGCAGTAGAGCAGTCTCAGCTACTGCAACCTCTATCCTGCAGGCTTAAGTCATCCTCCCACCTCAGCTTCCCGAGTAGCTGGCACTGCAGGCATGGGCCACCATGGCCTGTTAAATTTTTGGGTTTTATAGTGGGTTTCACCATGTTACCCAGCTGGTCTCAAACTCCTGAGCTCGAGTGATGTGCCCACCTTGGCCTCCCAAAGTGCTGGGATTACAGGCATAAGCCACCATGCCTGGCTGATGAAATATACGATATTTTTGTAGGTTGATCTTATACTTTGCTACATTTATATTTTTCTTGTTCTAGAGATTTTTGTAGATTTTTTTTTGGAATTTTCTACATAAAATGATTTCATCAGTTTCCTATTGCTATACACAGTGACTGGCTTAAAACAACAAAAATTTATTCTTTTGCAATTCTGCAAGTCACATATCTAATATGGGTCCACAGTTCTGTGACTCTTCATGACTCTCCAGGGGAGAATTTGTTTCCTTACCTTTTGTAGGTTCCAGAGGCCACTTACATCCTTTGACTCATGGTCCACTTCCTCCATCTTTAAAGGCGAGAAAAAAATCTCTTTATCCCTCTATTTTCAACACGTCACCACTGTGTCTGTCCCTTGGTGTCCACCTGCACCTTTCTGATATTGAACCTTGTGATTCTATCCCTTTGACCATATAATTCAGGATAATGTCTTATCTAAAGATTCTTAACTAGACCACATTTGCAAACTCCCTTTTGACATGTCCAGTAACACAGGTTACAGGGATGAAGATACCTTCCTTTGGGGAAGGTATTAGCCTGCACAACCATCGTATTTTCTGTTGGTACACTATTGTTTTTTCTCCTGTTCTCAGGCCACCCTCCTTCCCCAGCCTCCCAAAGCACTGTGATTACAGGCCTCGGACACCACATCCAGCCTGTCACTTTTATTTCATTTTCCTTTATTTCACTGGCTGGAACCTTTGATATTGTGTGGAACAGTAGTGATGAGAGGAGACATCCTTGCCATCATCCCAACCTCTGGGGGAAACTATGCTTTCCCCAGTATGTATGATGATTCTGTAAGGGTTGGTAGGTGATCTTGAGTTGAGGAAGTTTCCCATGATACTGTTTTCCATACTGACTGCAGTATTTCAGATTCCCACAACATGTACCAAGATAGTTTCTCCACATCCTTGCTTGTGAAGCAGGTTCACTGCACACTGGTTGCCAGTGTGTCTGAGTTGAGTGAGAGATAATCTCACGCAAACACAGTAAGTTACATGAAGTGGATTTGTTACATACAGATCAGCAGATGCCTGGGATTCATGTGTTCTGCTCCCCAAGGCTCAGGAAAGACACCCAGTGCAGATGCAGTCTCTCTGTGTGTGTTCCACTTGCATCACAGTTGCGGGAGGCTGGAAGGCAGCCCATCCTGGGTTTCATGCTCCAGGGATGCATGGCACATTGGCCTAAAGCAACAAAGGGCATCCTGTTCTGGGGGTCTGGAACACATCCTGTCCTTTTCTCACCGCTCCCTTCCTCTCAGGATGTTGCTTTTCCAGCACATTCTATATTCATTCTTGGGAACTACAAGTGAGAAGTCAGATGCAACTGGGCCAATTCAACCCCACTTGAATGCTGTCCTGCAGTCTCTCCGCCAATCCAGATACCCTTTTATTTTTATATTTTTTGAGACAGCGTCTCGCTCTGTCTCCCAGGCTGGAGTGCAGTGATGCAATCTTGGCTTACTGCACCTCTACCTCCTGGATTCAAGCAATTCTTGTGTCTCAGCCTCTCGAGTAGCTGGGACTACAGGCATGTGCCACCATCCCTGGCTGATATATATATATATATATACATATTTCGTATTTTTAGTAGAGATGCGGTTTCACCATGTCGGCCAGGCTGGTCTCTAACTCCCGACCTCAGGTGATCTGCCCGCCTCAGCCTCCCAAAGTGTTGGGATTACAGGCATGAGCCACCACGCCTGGCCCAGATACCCCCTTTAATAAAGCTAGTCCACTGACCTCCCTGGATCTGGAGGTAGAGGCTGGTCTCAGGAGATTGAAGTAATACCTTGACTGGCAGAATCTCAGGGCAACATCATTGAGGTACAGCCAGTTGCATTTCACTAGGCTCAAGAGGATTGCTGCCTCCAGCAGGATAACCAGGCCTGCCTGGAGCAGTGCCATAGTCCAGGATCCCAGTGACCGAGGTGAGAAGTTGGTACTCAGATCAAAGAAAAGTTCTTCAGGTGACCCCACTGTCTGCAGCCAGTGGGCCTACTTGTGGGTCTTAGGTATTTGCGTTTCAAAAATAACCTGAGATCCTGATGTGGGGTCCTTATCTCCCATGCAAGGTGACTCATGCCTATAATCCCAGCACTTCGGGAGGAGCAGATGGGAAGATTGCTTGAGGCTAGAAGCTGGAGACCAGCCTGGGCAACAAAGCCAGACTACATCTCTATTAAAAACAAACACAGAAAATTAGCACAGTGGAGAGGCACAGGCCTTTACTTCCAGCTACTTGCCAGGCTGAGATGGGAGGTGCCCAGGACCCCAGGAAGTCAAGGTTGCAGTGAGCTATGATTGTGCCACTGCTTTCCAGCCTGGGTGGCAGAGACCCTGTCTTAACATTTTAAAAAGCATTAAAAAACTAAGTTGGGCCGGCCATGGTGGCTACTCTGTAGGCTGGGGCAGGGGAATCACTTGAACCGAGGAGGCAAAGGTTACAGTGAGCTGAGTGCGTGCCACTGTACTCCAGCCTGGGCGACAGAGGGAAACTCTGTCTCAACAACAACAACAAAAACTTAGTTGTTTATGACTATTTTTAAAAGTTATTCTTTCTTTTTTTTTTTTTTTTTTAAAGAAACAGTTGGTAACTTCTCTTTACACAGCCCTTAGTCCTCCATGCGCAACATGATGTCCCAAGGAAAGTCTCTGGAATTGAGCACAGGGTTGACCTTCACCTTCTAGAGTGAATGGGGAAGATAAATGAAAAGTATATATCTTCGGTGGGACATTGGCATGAAATAGAACATTCTACCCTGGCAGGGTTTTGCATTTCACATTTTAGCTTGCATCCCCTTCACAGACAATTCCAAAGTGTGTTAATTCAATTCCTAAAGCTTCCCTTCCCTTCCTCCCTTCCCCTTCCTCCTTACTTTTCTTTCTTGTCCATTTATTTTCGTTTTTTCTCTCTTTCTTTCTTGGTTTTCTCTTTTTCAACTTCTCTGTTTTCTCTTTATCTCTCTTTACTCTCTCTCTTCTCTCTCTTTCTGCTTCCAGGGTAGGTGGGACTTGAAATTCATTTTAATAGAAGGAATTTGCGTGGATATAATCAACAACCGATTTTGCTCTGCGCAGGCAAGATCCGTTTTCAGATCTCTAAGCGGATCTTGCCTCCAAAACCCTGAAAACAGGCGCGACCAGTCAGGCAAATAGAAGCGCAGGCCCCGCCCAGGCCTTGTCCCGGTCCGCCGCGGTCCCAGCCAGTCCGGCCTCTAGGATGCGCGGCAATTTCCCGCAAACCCGGAAGCGGACCGTTGGGGGTGAACGCCTAGAGCGCAGTTTCCGGTAGACCCGGAAGCCCATCGCGTGGAGGAACTGTTTCGTAGGAGCGCGTGAGTTTCCTTTTGTCCCTATTAAATCTAGGCTACCCCGTTCTTCTGCGCTTCTATACCCGGAATCTTAGGGGCGTGCAGACCTTGAAATCGCGGCACTGCTTCCCCCATCCCAAGTAAATTCAGACGTCCTTTGAGAGTCTGGGAGTCGCTTTGTGCGTGTTAAAATCGCTTGGAGGCTGGTCCTGTGCCCGGTCTTTTTGTCATATGCCCACGTAGACACCTCCTATCGTGGGCTTTTCCTGCTTCAAGTCCTTTAGTAACCCCTACACACGCCCCGCACCATGTAAAATCCTCACTGTCCGTTCCCCCAGCCTCACCCTTCTTGCCCGCTGGAGCTCAGCGCCCCAACGGGGCACGAGAGGCCGCGTCCTCTGCCCGGACCTGGTTTCTGCAGACTCCACCCCTCTTCTGACCCACTCCTGCCTTTTTCCTCCTTAATCTGGACCCTCTGTTCCCCAGGCCTCCCTTTCCCAGCCACTGGTTCTCCTGACCCCGAATGTGGGGAGTGACTTCAGTCTCCTGACATCCAGTGTTCTCTCGAGCCAGCTTCCAGCCCACCGAAAATGAGCTTTTCCGGAGATGGGCATCTTATTCCAATCCCCTCCCTGTGAATGTGTGGAGAAGAAGAGATGGGAACGAGTCAGAGGAAATAGAGAAATTTTGAAAGAGAAATGAAGAATGAGAGAACCATTGACAGACGGCAAAGTAGAAGGTGAGTGAGGGGTTCGCGGCGACACAGTGAAAGAAGGTGCCGAGAAAAAAGCAGGGGGAGAAAAGTAACTAAAAAGATAGACAAACCTGGGTCTGTAGAAAGATGAAGTTCAACAAGATAGGGAAGACTTCTCAGACAGAGAGTGGGGGAGAGGAGGAGGGATTTGGAGCCAGGTCAGATAGAGCAGCGTGGCGCTGGGACAGCCAGAGCGGGCAGCTGGTCACAAGGACAATAGAGGGAGAACCACAGCAGGGGGAGGCCTGGGATCTGAGGGTGCCAGAGAGTGGGGACAGGGTTGTGTAACATCGAAGATTTAATTTAACAGGGAGAGCCCAAGGGGAGCCAAAATGTGGGAGGAAAGAGGCAGAAATATATGGAGATTAGGGACAGTGAAAGATTGGGCAGAAAGAGGAATCAAGAGGTGAAACAAGTTGTAAAAATGGATCAGAACAGGTGGGAGAGAAAGAATAGAAAGAAGAATGGGACAAAGAGAAGAGGAGGGACTCAAGATGAACACAATCCTAGGGAAAAATAAAGAGGAAAAAAACAGCTAGGGAAAAAAGATGAGAATGAGAGATATGTACAGAATGAGGGAGGGAAACAGTAGTGAGGAAAGGGGGACACTGGTTACAGATGAGTGGTGAGTTGATTGGAAATTATGATTGAATTGTGACGTATTAATTTCTCTATAATATAAAATCTTTTAAAATACATGAGGCTAGGGGCTGTGGCTAACACGTGTAATACCAGTACTTTGGGAGGCTGAGGTGGGCAGATCACTTGAGGTCAGGAGTTGAGTGAGACCAGTCTGGCCAACATGGTGAAACCCTGTCTCTAGTAAAAATACAAAAATTAGCTGGGCCTGGTGGCCTGGGCCTGTAATCCCAGCTACTCAGGAGGCTGAGGCAGGAGAATTGCTTAATCCTGGGAGGCAGAGGTTGCAGTGAGCTGAGATTGCGTCACTGCACTCCAGGTTAGGTGACAGAGCAAGACTCCATCTCAAAAAAAAAAAAAATAACCACAGATGAAGATGAGAATTGGAACACTATTTCTAAGGCATGTGCGTTTTATAATTCCTGGCATCAGAGGTTAGCTTCCGCTTGTGATCTGTATTCTGCTAGGGGGCAGTGACTTGGCTCATTCAGGTGTGGTTCACTCTCTTCTCTTTTCTTTGGATGGACTAGGGCGTGAGCGAGTGTATAAGATAGGAAAAACTAAAGTGGTTTTTGTGCTCACAGTGAATACAATACAGAGCACGGCACCCAGAATGCCTCATCTCTGCTCACCAAAATCATATGGGAATTACTTGTCACCAACAAGCAATTCTTCATCAGACAGCACCTGGGTGTTCTGTAATTTTACTCAGTTTAACTGGTTAGTGTAGGAACAGTCACACACATTTTGATCACTAGAGGTGAGGTATTCTCTTGGGTGTGAGAGTAGTAAAAACTGTGGTTTTTTTCCTGTCTCAAACAGTAAGGGCAAGAATTTTCCAATAGGCCCACCCACCTGTCTCTAGGACTGTGTTCTTACTCAGTAGTGACTGGGAATTGTCTGTCCCTGCTCCTGGCTGCTGCTGACGCTGAGACTGTGTGCCAGAGGCCAGCCCCATTCACACTCTCCTGATGCCATGGCACCCCTCCTCCACAGTGTCATCAATTTTTATTTCAAGGGAATTATTTTGGTCATTGTACCCAGATGGAGCTGTTGCCCATTAAAACACACACACATACCTTTATTTTTCCCACTATTTCATCCTCAAAAGAAAAAACAAAGTATTAGCTACATTTTTACTTGCAGTAAGTCTGCCTTCTCTGTGCTTCATGTAAGAGCACAATATACCAAAATCTTGTTTAAGCTGTCTCTTACTCTTTCCTCCACTTCTTGCTTGACCGCATCCAATCAGGTTTTGACATCAACCACTCCTCTGCTCCTTTTTTTTATCTGAGTCACCAGTGACTTCTCTGTTTCTAAATCTAGTTATTTTTTCATTTAATTTTTAGAGACAAAGTCTTGCTGTGTCACCCAAGCTGGCATGCAGTGGCACAGTCATAGTTCACCATAACCTCAAACCTCTGGGCTCCAGCAATCCTCCCATCTCAGCCTCTGGAGTAGAAGGACTATGGGCCTGTCCCTCTACCTGGCTGATTAAAAAATTTTTTTTTAGAGACAGAGTCTCACTACATTGCCCAGGCTGGTCTTGAACTTCTGACTTCTAGCCATCCTGCAAACAAGTCCCAGCGTGCTGGGATTAGAGGCATGAGCCCCTGTACCCTGCTTAAATCCGACTTTGAATTTTCCGTCCTCATCTGTCTTTTTCTGTCAGCAGCATGTTTCACAGCCGATCTCTCTATTTTTTTCTCAGCTTTGAAGATACTGCTCATATTTTTAAAAATCTGTTTAAAATTTTTCTCATCACTGTGGTATCTTACCAGTTACCTCTGCTGGTGTCTTCTGAAGTGTCTTCTCTGAATATGGAAATGTCACCCAGTTTAGTCGTTAAACCTGTTCTGTCTGCCCACGCCCTCTGCTTTTCCTTGATCTCATCTATGGCTTTAAACACCACCACCATGTCTCCATTTTCCCTCACCACCCACCCCGGTCCCCTGAATTCCAAAATCCTGTATCCAGTGGTGTTCTCAACATCTCTGCTGGGACATCCACAGGGATCTCCACCTCTACGTGTCCAAAAGAGACTTCCTGAACTCCCTCAAACGTGTTCTCCCTACAGTGCTGCGTAGCTCAGATGACGGATGCCTTGTACTTTCTGGGGGTTAACTAAACCTGTCAAAATCTGCTTAAAATATATGAGATACTATTTGTGTTTTAATTTCTAAGGTAAAGAATAAATGACATGTTTACTTAAAATGAGTAAGGAAATAGATTGTTTCAAAATTTCTTTTGATGTGTGGGAGAAAATATTTGAAGAGCTCAACCCTGCCTGATCTGCTTCCCCAGGACCTCTCTGACCTCATCTCCTGCCTCTGTTCTTCCCGCTCCCTCTACTGCAACTAGGCAGCCCCCTTTCGTTTTCCGAGAGCGTTTTGTATTTTTAAAATAAGTGCTTGATCGAAGTATGATTTTAGGAATCACACAGTTTATTGCCACATGAAGAATTTATTTTTATTTTTATTTTTAAATTTTTTTTTTTAGGTTCACAAATTTTAAGAAAGGGAGAATAAAGTGGAGAAATCTCAGAGGGAATCCACTCAACAGATGAGGTACCTTAACTACATGGTGGGTGAATTCCAAAATGGTTAACATCTGTTTGCTGAGTTAGGCTAAATCAGGCCTATGTAGAAAGTCACAGTTTGAGGATTACCTCATGGGGAGGTCTTCCCTTTTTGTGTAGCTATGACACAGGAAGGATGTATGTTGATTCTAAGCCCTAAACAGCGTATTTTGGCATTCAGGATTCACTTCCAAAGAGACATATTATGCAAGGAAGCAACTCGGAAAACGAAAGAGAAGGAGTCAGGAATGGCCCTTACTCAGGTAAGGTAATATTCTCAGTGGACTGTTCTGTCTCTGTTTCTTCCTAAAATGCCAGGCCTTGGAGTTGCTAATCTTTGACTCTGAAGCATCCTGCCTGACACGTTTGCTGGCACTTACTCATGGCTTCTTCCAGTCCTTCATTTTCGCTTGAGATTTCAGTTCACTGTGACCCAGTGACACGAACTTGGAAAGAGCCTGCACTGGGCATGGTCCTGGGAAGGGCTCACACTCAGACATGGATGGATATGGGGTATGGGTCCCATGGTGTCAGTGCTGCTGGGCAGCGGGATTGTTAAGGGATCACATCTGGATGCACTGTCAGTGTTCTGTGGACTAGAATTAGAGAAGCTGCGTGTCATAGTTTCAAGTTCCTTTCTTTCGTTTTTCTTTTCTTTTTTTTTTTTTTTTTTGAGACAGAGTCTTGCTTTGTTGCCCAGACTGGAGTGCAGTGGCATGATCCCTGCTCATTGCAACCTCCGCCTCCCAGGTTCAAAGGTTTCTTCCACCTCAGCCTCTCGTGTAGCTGGGATTACAGGTGTGCACCACCACTCCAGTCTAATTTTTGTGTTTCTAGTAGAGATGAGGTTTCACCATATTGGTCAGGTTGATCTTGAATGCCAGCCTGAAGTGATTCGGTCAACTCGGCCTCCCGAAGTGCTGGGTTTACAGGCATGAGCCACCTCACCCAGCCACAAGTTACATATTAATGTGCGTGAGTATTTGGTAAATTCTGGAAAAAGAGTTCACAAAAGGGAAATATTTTCTGCCTGGTTTTGGATTACAGTGGAAGCTAAACAAGTGAGTAACTTAACTCAGATTATCTTAATGTTTGGTAAAGTAATGGAATGTTTAGATAAAGACATCAGTGATAGTGTTTTATTCACTTTATAAACTGTTCTATTTTAAAATATGAAATCAAGTTTAATGTCTTAACAGCAAAAGATTCAAAAGCATTTACAAATCTGTCACCTTTTCCTGTTTTTTGTCTCTGTCTCTGACTTGGTTCAGGGAGGACATTCTGTTGTCATTCTTAACACATCCTTTCCACAGAGACTGGTGCTCCTGCAGAAAGTCTTGTACAACTGCTGTGCTAGTCGAAAAAGGTTATATTTTGCTTAGAGATTGCAGTAGAATTTCCCCTCCCCTCCTCTCCCCTCCCTTCCCCACTCTTCCCCATTCCTCCCCTTCCCCTTTCCTCCCCTTCCTTTTCTCTCCTTTTTTCTTTTTTTTTTTTTTTAAAAAAAAGGAGATGGAATCTCACTATGTTGCCTAGGCTGATTTTGTACTTGTGGGATCAAGCCATCTTCCTGCCTTGGCCTCCCAAAGCGCTGGGATTACAGGTGTGAGCCACTGTGCCCAGCCTAGAATTTCTTTCTCTCTAGAGAGGAGGAAATCATATTCTTGTACCACCAATTATTATGAAGAATTTTTTATTTTAAGCAATGAAATTATGTGTATTTTTTAATAGGAAAAGTCCAAACAAACATACAGCTTATTAGCACAGCAAATACAAAGCATCCCATCCCCTGTCCAGCCTTCCACTCTCTCTCATCTCTCATTGGGGAGCCACTGTTGTCAGCTCTGTGTCAAGAGTCCTCTCAAGTCCTAGACAAATGTATTTACATAGCATTGTGATACATGCTTTTAAGTCCTCAGTGGTTGTTTTGTTGTGATATTTTATTCTGAAAGTTGTGAAAATTTGTGTGTTTTCATGTTAGGAAGATGGATTGCTTGCCCTTTACATCCTCATGTGAATGTTCTCTGAATTAGAAATCAGTCACCTCTCTCAGAAGTTCGAGACCAAGCTGGCCAACGTGATAAAAACCCGTCTCTACCAAAAATACAAAAAATTAGTAAGGCCACGCGTGGTGGCTCACGCCTGTAATCCCAGCACTTTGGGACGCTGAGGCTGGTGAAACATGAGGTCGGGAGTTCCAAGATCAGCCTGGCCAAGATGGTGAAACCCCATCTCTACTAAAAAATACAAAAATTAGCCAGGTATGGTGGCAGGCGCCTGTAATTCCAGGTACTCGGGAGGCTGAGGCAGAAGAATTGATTGAACCTGGGAGGTGGAGGTTGCAGTGAGCTATCACGCCACTACACTCCAGCCTGGGTGACAAAGCGAAACTCTGTCTCAAAAAAAAAACATTAGTTGGGTGTGGTGGCTCACACCTATAATCTCAGCACTTTGAGATGCCAAGGCAGGTGGATCACCTGAGCCCAAGAGTTCAAGACCAGCCTGGCCAACATAGTGAAACCCTGTCTCTACTGGTTAAAAAAAAACAACCAAAAATTAGCCAGGTGTGGTGGCAGGTGCCTGTAATCCCAGGTACTCAGGAGGCTGAGGCTGAGGAATTGCTTGAACTTGGGAGGCGGAGGCTGCAATAAGCTGAAATTGCACCACTGCCCTCCCCCCGCCCCCCAAAAAAGGAGAGAGAAGTCAGGAGTTTGTGGTTTCCTCTGCATGATGCCACGTCATGCCAGGCAGGGGCTCCAGCAAATGGGTGTCACACATTTTTCCCATGGGGCTCCCAGCAGGTTCACTTGGTGCTGGTGCCTCTCTGGGTGCAAGAACTTCCTGAGTGGCTTCTGGATTTCTCACAAAGGCAGTTGGCCTATCTATTGTTGAATTTGTGTCTCCATGGAGATAAAATGGTCTGTGGCTTCCTATTCCTGTATCTTGCTGATAGGACTCTTTGAGTATACTTGTAGATTTCATACACAGGTCTGGAATGTCTTTTAGTTAGATGCCTTGTAGATTTACTAAGGGAGATGTAGGATGTTTCTTTGTGTGTATGTCATTGTATAAATAGTGCTGCTAAGGAAGGAAACTTGTTTTCAATATACTGTTCTTGGTTAATATGCTAAGATTGCATTCTTTTTCTTGATTACAGTCATGTCATTCATTAGTATTAACAGATCCAGCTCTTTTCTGTCACTTTTTCTTTCCACCTTGTCCCTCTGCTTCTTGTCTCTGCTCAGGCATCCCGTGTAGTGAGGATTGGCTACAGCGTAGACCAGCCCCCTTTTCCATCTCTTAAAGTAGAGGAAATCTATTCCATGTTTACTGCTAATTAAGATCTTTCATGAGATGTTCTTGCTTAATATCATGAGGGGTTTTTCTTGTTTTGTTTTCCAGTTTGGTTTTGGCTTGATTTTTTTTTTTTTTTTCCCGAACGGAGTGTCGCTCTGTCACTCCAGACTGGAGTGCAATGCCGATCCTCGCTTCACTGCAAGCTCCACGCTCCCGGTTTCCATGCCATCTCGCCTCGCCTCCAGCTCCTGACAGCTGGAACTACAGCGGCTGCCAACCTCCGCCTGGCTAGTGTTTGTGGGTAAATTTTTACGTAAGCAGGATCGGGTTCACACATCGTTCAGCCAGGAGTGCTCCGATCCTCCTGACGTCGGATCCCCGCTGTTCTCGGCTCCACAGTCTCGGGACTAGACTTGAGCACGCACAGCCCTTTTTTTTTTTTTTCTTCTGAGACAGACGTCCTCTTGTCACTAGGACTCCAAGTCCAGTGGGCACCAATCTCACTCACTTCACTCCACCCTCCTAGGCCTTAAGCCAACTTGCCTGTCCTCAAGCCCCTATCAACGTAGCGGATTACAGTTGTGCCACCCACATTCACAAGCTAAATCTATGCTAATTTTCGTTAGAGAGACACGTTCGCCCATGTTGGCTAGGTGTCTTGAATTCCTGACCTCATGTGATCCTGCCTGCCCTCTGCCCTTTCCAAAGGCTTTAATCTGATATGACCACTGCTCCGCCACATCGAGAACTTTCCTTTCTTTTTTTGAGTCCAGAGTCCTCACTCCTGTCCACACAGGCCGGAGGCAGTGCTGCGTTCGCTCCATTGTAAGCCTGCGCTCGGGTCATGCATTCTCCCCTCGCCTCAAGCCTCCAACCATCTGGACTACAGCCACCTGACACCGCCGGCTACAATTTTTGCTATTTTAACGTAGAAGGCGCGGTTCCACCGTGTACCTGACGCCCACGGAATGCTCTAGGAAATTCCTCGACCTCGCGCGATCCACCCGCTGCCCTAAGCCTACCAAAGTGCTGGGATTACGGGCATGAGCCACCACTCCCAGCCATATCTAGTAATTTCTTAAGGTATAGGGTGCTGAGGTATTTTCTTTGCCCTTAATATGTCAACTTAATATACTAATTTCCTGTAACATACCACCTTTTCATTAATGGAATAAATTAGTAAATTTCATTGAATTTTGTTAATATCTAAATAACAATATTTTAATGGACCAATCTATATTTATAGGCCAGAAGCAGTGACGTGTGCCTATAATCCTAGCTTCTTGGGGGAGCTAAGGTGGGAGGATCCATTCAGCCCAGGTTTGAAACTATTCTGGACAACCTAGTGAGACCCTGTCTGAAATTTTAAAAATATTATATTTTTGCATATGGATATTCAGTAGAGATTGGAGTTCAAGTTTCTGTGGTTTTACATGGTCTCCCATTTTTAATCACCTACCATATGTTTATAAACTAAATTGGTACAATTTATACATTTTTATTGTTGCAAACATGCTGAAATACACATTAGGAAAAATAGTACTTACAAGTAGGCACAGTAGTGCATGCCTTTAGTTTCCCACTTGGGAGACTGACGAGGAAGGATCTTTTGATGCCAGGAGTTCAAGGTTGTGGTGCACTATGAATAGCCACTGCCATCCAATTTGGACACTGTATTGAGACCCTGTGTCTAAAAATTGCAAACCAAACTATTGATGAAAAATATCATGTAAAAAATAGGTCACTGGGGCTGGGTGCAGTGGCTCATGCCTGTAATCCCAGCACTTTGGGAGGCCGAGGTGGGTGGATCAAAAGGTCAGGAGTTTGAAACCAGCGTGGCCAACATAGTGAAACCCCGTCTCTACTAAAAGTACAAAAATTAGCCAGGCGTGGTGGCGCGTGCCTGTAGTCCCGTCTACATGGGCAGCTGAGGTAGGAGAATCGCTTGAACCTAGGAGGCGGAGTTTGTAGTGGTGAGCCGAGATCGCGCCACTGCACTCCAGCCTGGGCAACAGGGCAAGACTCCATCTCAAAAAAAAAAAAAATAGGTCAGAGAGACAACTCCTCTTATTTCAGCTGATGTGTGTAAGTGTATATGTGTACTAATGTATATGAGTGTTAGTGTGTATAAGTGTGTACATGTGGTGTGTGGATGAGTGCACAGATGAGCAAGCCTATGATTTTTATGAATGGCATGTCGTCATTTTATATAAATTTTATATTTTTTAATGAGTTCAGATTACATCTTAAGTATTTACCAGGTTCAAATTTTTCTATACTATCATGCTAATGAGCTGATAGCTATAAGAATAAGAATGTATTATGGGGACATATAATATATTATATATATGCAGAGATAATGACCTTTTAGGCAGTTTGGTGTTTTTAATCCTTGAACTTATTTTAAGTTTACTGAATTAGGTAAATGTCAATTTTCTTTTGATGCTATCTGTTACTTAACTGTTTGATTCTTTAGGTTTGATTCTAATGTCCAGACACCTGGGATCCGGTGCTTACACTGCCATTTTTAGTCCTGACTCCTGGGGGGAGTTTCCTAGAATATATGTGAAAGAGTTGTCTCTTCAGTAAGATAGGAACAGACCATTCTTTCTTTTTTTTGTTGTTTTTTTTAGATGGAGTCTTGCTCTGTCACCCATTCTGGAGTGCAGTGGCGAGATCTTGGCTCACTGCAACCTCCGCCTCCCAGGTTCATGCAATTCTCCTGCCTCAGCCTCCCAAGTAGCTGGGATTACAGGTGTGTGCTACCACACTCAGCTAATTTTTGTATTTGTAGCAGAGACTGAGTTTCACCATGTTGGCCAGGATGCTCTCAATCTCTTGACCTTGTGATCCGCCTGCCTTGTGATCCTCCAGTTCATGTAAAGCATTTAGAATAGTGCCTATCACATGGGAAATGTTCCATTCAGCCATTGCTATTGTTATCACAGCTTTCAGATTTTGACCATTTTTTATTTTATTTATTTGTTTTTTTGAGTCAGAGTGTTACTCTTGTCTGTTGCCCAGGCTGGAGTGCAGTGGCATGATCTCAGCTCACTGCAGACTCCGTCTCCCCCTTCCCAGGTTCAAGAGATTCTCCTGTCTCAGCTCTTGAAGTAGCTAGGATTTACAAGGTTCACCACCACCAACCTGGCTAAGTTTTTTCTATTTTTAGTAGAAGACAGGGTTTTAACCATGTGGCCGGGCTTGTCTCCGAACATCCTGACCTCAGGTGATCCCACCCTGGCCTTGGCCTCCCAAAAGGTGCTGGGATTACAAGCCATGAGCCATGTATACCTGGCCACAGATTTTGTCCATTCTTAAAACTAAGTAAATTTGGGGCGGGCCATGGTGGCTGACATCTGTAATTCCCTAGCATGTGAGAGGCCAAGGGGCGGCAGATCAGAGGTAAGAGATCGCGTGACCATCCTGGCCAACATGGTGGACAACCCCATCTCTACTAAAAATCACAAAAATTAGCCGGTCGTGGTGGCAGGTACCTGTAATCCCAAGCCTACGTGGAGGCTGAGGCAGGAGATCACATTGAAACCTGGAGGTGAGGTTGCCATGTGAGCCAATATCACGGCCATCCCAAGCTCCAGCCTGGGCAAAAAGAAAACATCCGTCTCACAACAAACGACCCGAAACTGCATAAGAGGTTGGAGTGCTGGTGGCTCAATCACCTGTCTCAGGACTTTGGAGTGCCAAGGGTGGGGGATGCTTGAGCCTTAGGAACTCAGACCACCTGGGCAAATGGTGAGACACCGTATTTATTAAAAATAAAATAGCCAGGCATAGGTGCATGGAGCCTGTAGGTCCCTGGGCTACTTCAGGAGGCTGAGGTTGGAGGATCAACTTGATTGGGGAGCAGAGATGTTGCAGTGAGTCAAGATTGTTGTGACCACTGAACACTTCACGGTGGTGACAAGTGACACGCGCCTGTCCCTCAGAAAATACGAAAAACCACTGTAGCCTCGTGATTCTCTGAGAGACACACTTGAATGGCAATCTCAGGTCGATATGGTATTTTGGTGTCTAAAAGCACCTAACACTCCTATAGAGATCACCCTGGATTAAATTTTTGTTTGTATTGTTCAAAAATGAGACATCTACACTGATTTAAAGAATGCCTTAATTTCTTATGGAGAAGTATAATAAAACAACAATTACACAGAACTGGCTCAAGCATACCTTAATACGGATTTTTCACAGTGCTCACATCAGTGGAGTCAATCTTTAACAACTGTCTCCCGTTCTGTGTGACGGTGAGTACTGCCTGCATACCCTGTTGCTGAAATGTGGATTTTCTTTTAGGGACCCTTGAAATTCATGGACGTGGCTATAGAATTCTCTCAGGAGGAGTGGAAATGCCTGGAGCCTGCTCAGAGGACTCTGTACAGGGGACATGATGTTGGAGACATTAAAGGAACTAGGTCCTCCCTGGGGAGATAATGCGCTTCAGAAGCTGGGATCCTGCCTGCGTGGGAACTCTGCCGCTGGTGTCGTGTGTGACCTCTTGAAAGCTTTCTTGCTTGACTAGATTTTGGAACTCGAGTTTGACTCAGAATTGAAAAGCTCTATTACACTTTCGGGCCTGAAATGGTCCCTATTTTTCCAGGTTTCTCCTCCCTTCCAGATTCATCATTGGGCACCAGGACTGAGATGCGAACCTTTGACATAACTTTAAAAACTATCCAATTCCTGTTTTCTAGCCCTGTGCCTTTTGATTTCTGAGTTCTTGGAAGGGGATCTATGTCTGCATGTTATCAATTTCCCTAAGCGCTCAGAAAGAGGCCAGTCAGTAGATGATTTGTGAAATACGTTTTTTTTTTTTTTTTTTTGTGACGGATCCTCGTCTATCGCCCAGGCTGGATCTGCAGTGGCGCGGATGTCGGCTCACTGCAAGCTCCGGCCTCCCAGGTTCACGCCATTCTCCTGCCTCAGCTCCTGAGTAGCTGGGACTACAGGCGCCGCTAGTAGTCCCGGCTAGTTTTTGTTTTTGTATTTTTTTAGTAGAGACGGGGCTTCACCGTGTTAGCCAGGATGGTCTCGATCTCCTGACCTTGTGATTCTGCCCGTCTCGGCCTCCCAAAGTGCTGGGGATTACAGGCTTGAGCCACCGCGCCCGGCCCTAAATACTATTTTTGACTTGATAGTAATATCCTCCTTCATCCTCCCTAAATATAGAGCTTGGACTTGGGAGATGCCACAGCACACATTTATTCTTTCTTTTGTAAATAGGAATCTGTCTGCCTGACCTGAGTGTTATCTCCACGTTAGAGCAAAAGAAAGATCCCTGGATTCTGCAGAGTGAAGAGAAAATAGCAAACAATCCAGATGGCAGGGAATGCATCAAAGGTGTGAACACAGGTGAGAGCTCGGGTGGGCAGAGTGGAGGCCCCATATTTTTTATTTTTTGAGACAGGGTCTCACTCTGTCATCCACACTAGAGCGGTGGCAATCATAGCTCACTGCAGCCTTGAAGTCCTGGACTTAAGGGATCCCCCTGGCTTGCTCTTCCAAAGTGTTGGGATTATAGCCATGAGCCACTGTGCCCTGCAAAGCCACCCTATTACATAGTATTTGGGAAACTCCCTGCAAATGGGAGAATTCTGTGAGAAAACAAAAGTTGAAATCTTGTGAGTTCTGAACAGATATTTTTCTTTATTTTCCTATTTCTTCTTGGAGATAGGATCTCTCTTGGGTCGCCCAGGCCAGAGTGTAGTGGCGCGATTACGGCTTGCTGCATCCTGGACTTCCTGGGCTTAAGTGATTCTCCCACCTCAGCCTCCTGAATAGCTGGGACTACAGGTGTACGCCACCGTGCCTGGCTAATTTTTTGTATTTTCTGTGGAGATGGGGTTTCACCATGTTACCCAGGCTGGTCTTGAACTCCTGGGCTCAAGCAGTCTGCCTGCCTCAGCTTCCGAAAGTGTTGGGATTATAGTTGTGAGCCACTGTAACCAGCAAAGTGTGTTGTTTAATTGACACATATTTGTGGATCTTTAAATTTTACTTCTTTTGTCTGGGCATGGTGTCTCATGCCTGTAATCCCAGCACTTTGGGAGGCCGAGGCAGGCAGATCACTCAAGGCTAGGAGTTCAAGACCAGTCTGGCCAATATGGTGAAACGCTGCCTCTGCTAAAATAACAAAAATCAACTGGGTGTGGTGACAGGTGCCTGTAATCCCAGCTACTCAGGAGGCTCAGGCAGGAGAATCGCTGGAATCCAGGAGGCAGAGGTTGCAGTGAGCCAAGATTACGCCATTGCACCCTGGCTTGGGTGATGGAGTGAGACCCTGTCTCAAAAAAAAAAAATACATTTTTTTCTTTTGTTAATTTCAACATTACATGCCTCCACCTCCGGAGTAGCTGGGATTACAGCTGTGCACCACCACGCCTGGCTAATTTTTGTACTTTGAGTAGAGATGGGATTTTTCCATGTTGGGCAGGCTGGTCTCGAACTCCTGGCCTTATGTGATTATCCTCCCTTAGCCTCCCAAAGTGCTTGGGATTACAGGTGTGAGCCACTTCACCCAGCCCAAAACATTCTATTTTAAATGTTAACAGCTTATCTTTGATTAGGTACCCAAAGCTCTGCTTAACAACTGTGTTCTCGCTTTCTGTTATTACTGGCAGAAATTAATCCTATATATTTTATGTTCCCATTAACATATGTTTTTAATGCTGTTGAAATGAGAGTGGTTTCTTTTTTTTTTTTTTTTGAGATGGAGTCTCCTTCTATCTCCCAGGCTGATCTCGGCTCATTACAGCCTCTGCCTCCCTGGTCCAAGTGATTCTCCTGCCTCAGCCTCCTGAGTAGCTGTGATTACAGGCACCCATCCCCATTCCCAGCTAATTTTTGTATTTTTAGTAGAAACAGGTTTTTTCCATGTTTGCCAGGCTGCTCTCCAATTCCTGACCTCAAGTGATCCACCTGCCTTGGCCTCCCAAAGTGCTGGAATTACAGGCATGAGCCACTGTACCTGGCCTGATTGTGTCTTTTAAATTGTGGGAAAGAATTAAAAGTCAAGTTACAAATGAAAAGTGCAACAATACATGTTTCTGTATTTGATCATTTCTTGACCTTTTGTGATGAGCTTTTTATTTTTATTTTTAGGGGATGGAGTTTCTCTCTGTTGCCCAGGCTGGCATGCAATGGCAGGATCTTGGTTCACTGCAACCTCTGCCTCCTGGATTCAAGTGATTCTCCTGCCACAGCCGCCCGAGTAGCTGGGATTACAGACACCATGCCCAGCTAGTTTTTGTATTTTTAGGAGAAATGAGGTTTCACCATGTTGGCCAGGCTCGTCTCGAGCTCCTGACCTCAGGTGATCCACCCACCTCGGCCTCCCAAATTGCTGGGATTACAGGCATGAGCCACCGCGCCCTGCCTATGATGACCTTTATATTTTCGTTTGGGTTAAAGATACTATCTGGAGTGCTTTCATTTCATCTTGAATCCTCGTTTCAGCATTTCTTCTTCGACAGGTCTAGAATACTAATTAACTTCCTCAGGCTTTCTTTAGGAAAGTCTAAAATTCGCCTTTATTTTTGCAGGTGAGATTTGCTAAGTGTAATATTCTTCATTGCTGTTTTGCCTGTTTTTCTTTAAGCACTGTCGGTATGTCACCTCACTGCCTTCTAGCCTGAAGATGTCTGCTGGAAAATACATATAATCTGACAGTTTCCTATTGTCTGACAAGTCTCTTTTTTGTTGCTACTGTCAAGATTTTGTCTTTGTCTTTTTTTGACTTTTGATAATTACTTTATAGTATGTCTCTGTGTGAATGTATTTGGGTTCATTTTAGTTAGAATGGTCAAGTTTCTCTTTTTTTTTTTT